AAGCCCAAAGCTTGGGGGCCAGTGGTTTAACAGACAGTGTCCAGGGGCAGGGGGACAGAAAGAGGCAGACGCCCCCGCCTTTTGCCCCCCCCCCCCCCCCCCGAGGGTCAGACCGGGGAGCGGGAGAAGAAGGAAGAACAAGACGACCCCGTCATAAAGTGTGTGCCGGGTAGCGTGTTGGGAACAATCTGAGCGGTCAAAGCAGACCACTGAGGCCTAAATGATAACACGCCACGGGACTCCGTGCAGTAATAACAGTGATTGCAACAAAGGGAGAATGTTTTTTTTTGGGCCGAGTGTGGTCTTTGTCTGGGTTTAATTGTGACATGGTACGAGGTGCAGCGAGCCAACTGCAGCCACAGCCTGTCTGCACCTCGCCGTGATTACACAAGCGCCCGTTTGATCCGCGGTACAGCAGCAACGGGGGGGTCAGCGAGGGAGGGAGGGAGGAGAGGAAGCGGCAGAGGGAGACGAGCAGAATGAATGCGGAATGGACCGTTCGCGGCGCCAAGTCTGGAGTGAGCGCCGGTCATTTGCATCAGAATCCACAGCGGCAGCCCGATAAGGCGCCGGCGTGACAGAGAGTCCGACGCCGAACCGACAGCAGCAGCGGGCCGGAAAACACCTGCAGCTTCTCTGCAGGTGAAGCACGAGGGATTTGCGTGTTTGAAATAAAAGAAATCCCGTTCTACTCTGATTGCATCATATTTGTTTTCCAAAATACCATTTTGCATCCCCGTTGTGAAACGTGTTCCAAGGTCAGCGTTGCTGATGTGCAGCCAATTTATTGCGTTTATTTTAATTGGGTCGAAAAAAGGTTGTTGTCATGACAACATCGCATAGATATTTAAGCGTTTGCGGCTTTCAACCTTTCAGACGCAAAACACAGCTGGTTCATTTGGCTCGTTTAACACAGTTACATTTACGAGCTCCAATTACAGTTTAATTCCACTGAGCCACTATTGTGGCGCAACACACAATCGTCACACTCAGGTCCGATGCGGCACCATTGCAGCGGCGTCACGATGACTGAAGACTGTCAGAAAGACAGAGACTAATGATTCCAGCAGGACGCGGACTGAACAGAGCGGAGGGACGATGGACGGGGACGATTCAGGAGACGGATGGGAAAGAAAGAAAGGGCGAAAAGGGAGAGCAGAAGGGAGGGCGAGAGAGAGAAACAAAGAGGCGGTGGGTTCCATTCATCTCCAATCAATAGTCTATCAGGGCTTTTTGGTGTCGGACTGCGAGCCGGCAGCTACGCCGGGTCAATGTCAGGTCCTCCGGCTTCCGTCAAGCTGCCGCTGTTAGAGAAATAGGTCACGCGAGGTCGTCTGTTCCCTCCGGCGGCAACGGAAAAAAAAAAAATAGGTCTCGCCATTTCTGAAGTGAATATTTGGTTCTTGACGAGGTGAGACGTTCAGTGCGAAACGTCTGCTTCGTGTGCGTCGGCGTACCTGTGAAACGCGCTGCCCGAGTTATTCCGGGTGCGTGCGTGCGTGCGTGTCATGTTGCAGGATCACGGCTGCGAGGCCCGACAGGCTGATGCGATGCTTCGCACAGATGCCGTGCAGGTAGTGTTCCAAAAGGCATAATATCTGTTCACTTAGCGGGTAATTGCATCCTCCGGAGAAGAACTGGAGGAGGCACTGTGTTAGCACGCAGCGGCAGCAATAAGAGGGGAGGCCTTCATTTATTCATTGATTTTCCTGGCGAGCAGCTGGAATCGCATCGCGAATGCTTCCGGAGGGGGGGGGGGGGGATGTGACACAGGCGCAGTTATTCGTATCCATCTCTTACGTGCCGGGGCTTGATTAGGAATACGCTTGAATGATATCAGTTGTTTGTGAAGCATTTTAATGTGCCGCATGAGGTAAAACGCGGTTGTTAATCATGCAGCAGAACCGTGCGCAGTTGTTTTGCATCGACTTTTAATTTGAAATTCTGACTAGACAGACAGAGCGTCAGTGCACCTTCCACTTCCTCCAACTCGTGATGTTCTCGCAGCTCGTGGAGGTGAGTCGGATTCTTCAGAGGCACTTTGAAGTAAAAAGCTTAACTTTGTGTAAACGGGACCAGGTGAGCGAACAAAGAGGGAGCGAAGTGATGCAGCGAGCCGCGCTCGGCAGGCCCGCATCCCTTCAGCGTCACAGCTGGTGAAAATCATTCAGATCCGGAATAAAACCCATCTAAACCCTCCCAGCTCATTCTGGGCTTTGATGTCGGGATGAAGCAGTGGAGCAACCCCCACCCTCCCCCTTCCCCACCCTCCCCCCCACACTGCATCACATGATCTCACTTTGTCAGAGCCGCTCATCCAGCACGGGACTCCCTGCTGGCGCTTTAACGGGCGCTTTCCTCCTTCTGAACCTGCAGTACAAACAGCATCTAAAGAGAACCACGTCTCTGTGACATCACTTGGAGCCCCTGTCTGCGTGTGTCCGGTGGAGCCGGTTCTCGAGCTTAATTGTCTCCCGTGGGACGCAGGAGCGATCGGGCAGCGCGGCTCGTCTCCCCGCCGGACTCGGGCGGACTCTATATTCTCTCCTCGACTGGACACGCGGCCCCCGGTCCTTACCGTCCCTCCTGTTGAGCTTGGCGAAGCCCGGCGCGTGGCTGCTGGACAGCTGGGAGGAGCTTCTGAAGGACGCCGGCGGCAGATTGGACACCAGCGGGCCGTCGCACACCTCTGTCGACCAATCACAGAGCACAAAGAAAAGCACACTTAGGAAAGGATTCAGTTCTCAAACAGCTTGTGAATCATTTCAGAGTATTTTCAGCGCCATGTGCCCATTTTTTTTAGGGCGGGGACAATTTGTTGGAATAGAAGTTACTGAATTAAGGCTTTAACTTCTGCCTTCTTCAACAACGGCGCCTCTGGTGTTGTTTTCGTGACAGCGCAGGATCACTCGCTCGTCCCGTCCCAACCAACGCAGACGGCGACAGCTCGTCCCTGCAGAGCGTCTCCCCGATCAACGCGTTAATCATTTACACCCGGAAAACACCTGCTCCTGTCGCTGCAGATCCTGATCTTACAGTTGTTAGCGCGCCGACTTCACGTCGCGCGCACATCTTGTATCACTGTCAGTTTCATCCGACACACTAAACACACAATGTGCGACAAATGCGCGTATTCAGACACCAACAGATGCTCTGCTGCGAACACAGAATCATCATCAGTTCGTCCAGCAGTGTTTCATTATTTGCACTATTTGTATCATTTATTTGTCATTTAACTGTCTGTTGGTGCTTTTCAGGACTGTTGTTATTCTGTGTGCCTGTTTTAATTGACTCTAAAATCAATGGAAATCAATTAATTCCCAAATGAAGCTGTAGCTTTTCCCCTTACTTGAGATAATATGCTTTTACAGGTTTGTTTGTTTATGAGGAATAAACCCACACTCACCTCATTCATGAACGTCGCCTCGATAAATGTTCACAATTTCTCGCACTCGAGCTCCGTGAGCTAAAGCCGAATTAACTGTGGCTCCATCCAAAAGCCTCCCGTTAGTGGATGTTATTCTCCAGCGCCGAGACAAGAGACAATTATCACGACTGGCGCTGCGGCCCGATCCGAGCCCGCCGACTCTGACAACGAGGCTTTTATCCGCGATCGCTCCGACGACCTCGGGGGGTCGAGCGCTTCGGCTCGACAGCGGCGGGGGGGGGGGGGCCTTTGGTAGTTTCCCTGCATGCCGCAGGGCCCCCAAAGATCCCCTTTAAGATGTTATGTCGTGATCGGGGTGATTTGACTTAGGGATTCCTCTCTATCATTGGAAATAAAGGGGCTTTGGGCTCCGTGCAAAATGAAATCCTCCGTTTTAAATGGAGAACCCCCAAGAGGCCCCCGGCTCTTTTGTCCTCTGTCTCTGAAACTCTTTCTCCCTGCAGGCGTCCACACACCTGCTGCTGCGGGCGGCGGGAGAAGCAGCTGAACTGCAGCAGTCCGAAGAGGTGAAAACGAGAGGGACGGCTCTCCGACGCCGAGCGCTGTGATCTCTGAGGAGATAACGCGCGTCGAGGTGAGCGGCCTGACGGCACCGGGACGACCTTCTCTCAGCCGGTGCTTTGGCCCTTTTTCGGGAGCCGGCGTCGGCGGCATCGTGACCGGTGAAGAAACGAGCAGACGACTCGGAGGGGAAATGGAGCCGGATGCTGAGAAGCCGCCGGACCTCGACAGCGACCTCGGCGGCGTTGGACAGAGACGTCCTCTGAATAACAAACGGCTGCAGCTTCACCGTCCACTGGAGAACAAACGCACCTCCTGTCGGGTTCTCACCTCGCAGACTAAACAACTGGCAGCGTTTCACACTGCATCGGGGATCAGACCCTTCTTCAAATTATAAAAGAATACTGTGGTGTCTTTACTGACACCAGCAGGATATTAAATTGATTTAATACCGGCCCACAAAAGGAGTGTCAGCCTCAGATGAAACCATAAAAGAAGAGAAGTCACTAAAATCTCAACCACAATTGTTGAGGAAACCATTATGTCGATGCAGCTCGTCCATCCACACCGTTTGTCATTCTGCTCAAATGAGCGTTTAAAAGATCTCCGGAGGTTTGAGGCCTTCGACAAGCACGGCCTCGCCTGCCACGATCATCCTGCAGCAGAAGAAACGGTCACGTTCGTCGTTCTCAACTCCTACTTTCGGATCGACCAGAAGAGGAGGTTCAAAGCTGCTCGTGCAAACAAAGGAAGCATTAAAAAGAGAAAGAAGGGAGATGCTTTGGATCCTTGTATTTTCCTCTAGATGTAAAGAACGAAGATAGAAGTTGCAACTCATCGTGGGAACAGAACTACGAGACCCAAACGTGCGACTCCTGTCCGTCATGTTTTTTGGTCTCATCCACGGAGACACGGTCCGGTTTCCATAGGAACGCTTAGTGAGGACTGGTATGACTTTGCTTCATACAGTGCGATTGCTCTCTTTAGCTGAATGGAAGTTTCCCACAGAGGAGGAACATCTATATCAACAGCGCGGCTCGTCTCCCCGCCGGACTCGGGCGGACTCTATATTCTCTCCTCGACTGGACACGCGGCCCCCGGTCCTTACCGTCCCTCCTGTTGAGCTTGGCGAAGCCCGGCGCGTGGCTGCTGGACAGCTGGGAGGAGCTTCTGAAGGACGCCGGCGGCAGATTGGACACCAGCGGGCCGTCGCACACCTCTGTCGACCAATCACAGAGCACAAAGAAAAGCACACTTAGGAAAGGATTCAGTTCTCAAACAGCTTGTGAATCATTTCAGAGTATTTTCAGCGCCATGTGCCCATTTTTTTAGGGCGGGGACAATTTGTTGGAATAGAAGTTACTGAATTAAGGCTTTAACTTCTGCCTTCTTCAACAACGGCGCCTCTGGTGTTGTTTTCGTGACAGCGCAGGATCACTCGCTCGTCCCGTCCCAACCAACGCAGACGGCGACAGCTCGTCCCTGCAGAGCGTCTCCCCGATCAACGCGTTAATCATTTACACCCGGAAAACACCTGCTCCTGTCGCTGCAGATCCTGATCTTACAGTTGTTAGCGCGCCGACTTCACTTCGCGCGCACATCGTGTGTCACTGTCAGTTTCATCCGACACACTAAACACACAATGTGCGACAAATGCGCGTATTCAGACACCAACAGATGCTCTGCTGCGAACACAGAATCATCATCAGTTCGTCCAGCAGTGTTTCATTATTTGCACTATTTGTATCATTTATTTGTCATTTAACTGTCTGTTGGTGCTTTTCAGGACTGTTGTTATTCTGTGTGCCTGTTTTAATTGACTCTAAAATCAATGGAAATCAATTAATTCCCAAATGAAGCTGCAGCTTTTCCCCTTACTTGAGATAAAATGCTTTTACAGTTATGAGGAATAAACCCACACTCACCTCATTCATGAACGTCGCCTCGATAAATGTTCACAATTTCTCGCACTCGAGCTCCGTGAGCTAAAGCCGAATTAACTGTGGCTCCATCCAACAGCCTCCTGTTAGTGGATGTTATTCTCCAGCGCCGAGACAAGAGACAATTATCACGACTGGCGCTGCGGCCCGATCCGAGCCCGCCGACTCTGACAACGAGGCTTTTAGCCGCGATCGCTCCGTCGACCTCGGGGGGTCGAGCGCTTCGGCTCGACAGCAGCGGGGGGGGGAGCCTTCGGTAGCTTCTCCGCATGCAGCAGGGCCTCCGAAGATCTCATTTAGGATGTTATGTCATGATCTGGTTGATTTGACTTATGGATTCCTCTCTATCATTGGTAATAGAGCGGCTTTGGGCTCGGTGCAGAATGAGATCCTCTGCTTTAAATGCAGAGCCTCCATGAGGCCTCCGGCTCTTTGGTCCTCTTTCTCCCTGCAGGCGTCCACACACCTGCTGCTGCGGGCGGCGGGAGAAGCAGCTGAACTGCAGCAGTCCGAAGAGGTGAAAACGAGAGGGACGGCTCTCCGACGCCGAGCGCTGTGATCTCTGAGGAGATAACGCGCGTCGAGGCGCAGAGCCTCGCTGAGGAAACGAGCGGCCTGACGGCACCGGGACGACCTGCTCTCCGCCGGTGCTTTGGCCCTTTTTCGGGAGCCGGCGTCGGCGGCATCGTGACCGGCGAAGAAACGAGCAGACGACTCGGAGGGGAAATGGAGGCGGATGCTGAGAAGCCGCCGGACCTCGACAGCGACCTCGGTGGCGTTGGACAGAGACGTCCTCTGAATAACAAACGGCTGCAGCTTCACCGTCCACTGGAGAACAAACGCACCTCCTGTCGGGTTCTCACCTCGCAGACTGAACAACTGGCAGCGTTTCACACTGCATCGGGGATCAGACCCTTCTTCAAATTATAAAGGCATACTGTGGTGTCTTTACTGACACCAGCAGGATATTAAACTGATTTAATACCGGCCCACAAAAGGAGTGTCAGCCTCAGATGAAACCATAAAAGAAGAGAAGTCACTGAAATCTCAGCCACAATTGTTGAGGAAACCATTATGTCGATGCAGCTCGTCCATCCACACAGTTTGTCATTCTGCTCAAATGAGCGTTTAAAAGATCTCCGGAGGTTTGAGGCCTTCGACAAGCACGGCCTCGCCTGCCACGATCATCCTGCAGCAGAAGAAACGGCCACGTTCGTCGTTCTCAACTCCTACTTTCGGATCGACCAGAAGAGGAGGTTCAAAGCTGCTCGTGCAAACAAAGGAAGCATTAAAAAGAGAAAGAAGGGAGATGCTTTGGATCCTTGTATTTTCCTCTAGATGTAAAGAACGAAGATAGAAGTTGCAACTCATCGTGGGAACAGAACTACGAGACCCAAACGTGCGACTCCTGTCCGTCATGTTTTTTGGTCTCATCCACGGAGACACGGTCCGGTTTCCATAGGAACGCTTAGTGAGGACTGGTATGACTTTGCTTCATACAGTGCGATTGCTCTCTTTAGCTGAATGGAAGTTTCCCACAGAGGAGGAACATCTATATCAACAACATGTGTAAATATGAATAAAGACCGTACCGTTGCCGATGGTGTCATATGAGGATGAGGATTTGGTTCATGTTTTCTTCCATAACTTTGTATTTTAAGTTTTTTTTTCCAAGAAGGGAATCTTTCTTTAACCTCCACCAGCTACTTTTAGTTGCTTGACGAACCAGATTAGGAGCCCAAAAAGTCCCTTTATTCATTTCAAAATCAGTGCAAAGCCACCTGTTCACTCGTTTATGGTGTGAGCACATGTTGGCGAAATAAGAAAAACATGAAAAATGTCAAATTTTGCTGAACACGAAGCGAAAAGCTCAGTTAATTCCTGTTTTTTCTCCACATAGTGGTTTTTATAACGAGCCTCCTGCCGGCCCGACAGCCTCCGGACTGAGAAGCTCAGCACTTCTCCCCGTTAACAACAGGAGTGTTTGATCCTCATCTTCAATTCTTCACCCGCCTGTCAAACGCGCTGCTGCATAATGTCGATTCTTTCCGGCCTTTGGCCCTCAACCGGCAAACATACACCGATAATAAGATCATTAGTTGGAGCTCAATCGGTGAGAGTGGAGGCCACACGTTCAGGAGACTCGTGCAGTCTGCAGCAAGGAGCCGTTGAGAGGGAACGATCCTCTTCCTCTTCCTCCTCCTCCTCCTCCCCCAGGCTCGTCACGCCGAGTGGCCACGTGGGCCGACATCTCCCAAATGATGGATCAAAAACACCGCGACGAGCAGCATTTAAAACTATTTTTGTGTTTCTTCCAAACCGCCAGTTTCCGCTCAGATTAACGAAGACAAGAGAGTTGAAAGAAGCCGTCGAGATTTTTTTATTTATGCACCAAATATTCACTGCAAATTAGAACGCAGTAATTATGGTTATTATAGTTAGAGCGAATAAAAGCTGCGGGCTACATCACTGGTGCTGATGGGTATAATAAAATATCTCCTAATTCACTGGCCACACTGACTAAATAGCTTGAATATATTTGCCTGCAAACGTCTCTTAATAGCGAGCAGCGGAGCAACATGCCTCCGTGGGGAGTAAATGTTCGGCACATAATGTAATTGTGTTCTGTCATTCAAATAAAATACTCCACGCGAGGATATGCACATCATCCATGCACCTCTGCAAATCTAATTTATCTAAAATAGGAAACACGGGGGATTCATAAAACTGAAAACGTTTAATTGCACCAGAGCTTATACCAACTATTTTTATGCAAACGAGTGCCTGAGCAGCATACTGTACCTTCAGTCATTTCACAGGGAGTAACGCATGCAACTGCTCAAATATTGTGAGCGTAAGCCTGTAGTCGAGCGGTAGACGTCATTTTAACGTTGAAATCTTGTTTAAATCGAGTTCAAATGAGGTCCGAACGCCTAAAACCGCCTTTCAACGTCTTCTCGACCGTCTAAAAAAAAAGAGGATGAAACATCAACGTGCCAGAAAACGCACATTTGTTAATAACGTGTCCAGGATGTCTGAGTGGTTAAGGCGTTGGACCCAATGGGCATCAGGCCTTGTGGGTTCGAATCCCACTCCTGGTATTAACATGTAACATGTAAATTATTTGGTCTCACTTATTGTAAGTCGCAGGTCAGACGCCTGCAGCGCTTCGACCGGATGCAGCGCGCGGCGCCGTTTGTACGGCAGCAGAGC